CCCCCCCCCCCCCCCCCCCCGCCCACATAAGCTCAGACAAAATAAAGTTGCCCGATCATGAGCGATTTCTTTCCAGTCACTCCCCACCTTTCGGCGAGCCCACTCGAGTTAAAAAAGCCCCGCAGCTCCGGCTGGGAGCTCAGAGCGCTGATCGATCAGAGGACGATGGTTACCGAGGGAGGTCGCGTGATCCGACGGAGCAGCAGAGTGAGGAGGCTGGCGGTCGTGGTGGCCGTGCAGAACCTGCTGGTGGTCACCTGCCTGCTGGTCACCCTTTACCTTTACCTGATGTCTCCGGCTTTGGTGAGTTCAGCACGGCGGGAGGGGGAAATGTATAATGCTGTCGTCTTTAGTTAAACTTGTGAGAAAAGTTTAAAAGTCACGATGTGGGTTTATTTTGTTCGAGATGAGTCCTTTCAGATAGATTCCTGCACGGACAGGTTTATCTTAGCAGGGCTGTTGCAAGATAATCAGCGGTCCAGGGGCAAGACGACTGAATATAAATAAAAGAAAAACAAACAAACAAAAAAATCTGATTTGAAATGAATAATTTAAATGTATGACATTTATGCCCACCTGTTTTCCTTTGTGAGCTAAAAGTCTTCCATCTTATATTTGGAAAACCACATTTTAAAAATGTAAAATACACGTTTTGGGAAACTTAAGAGTTTTCAAGTCTGCATGTGCATGTTTAATATTTACTTTATTATTATTATTATTTGCATTAAAAAAACAGTTCTGAACATCAATGATGAGCTAGGGTTTTTTTTGTAAGTCAGGGGAAGAGGATCTGTGTGTGAAATTCCAAACTTGTCATTGTTAAAATCGGATGGACAGATTCTACATAAGCTCCATCCTGCAGCACTCGTTCCTGTGAAATTAGCCTGTGGCATGAACCTGAGATTTCTGGGTGCTCTTTTCTTTTCACACTGAAAACTGCAACTTGCAGAAAAAGTTAAAAAAAAAAAAGAAAAAAGAAGAAGAAGCAAAGCACAGCTACTGAGAAAATATGGGACAAGATTAAGACTTCTCTGTAAAAAAAAAAAAAAAAAAAACTGACAATAAATTGAAAAGTTTTTGTGCTTTAACTCAACAGTCACGAGATTGACAGTAGAGATTTGCAGCCGGCTCATACGGCAGGACATGCATGTTAACCTGTAAAAGCGTCCGCGAATCAGGACGAGTCAAAATCGGTGTTGGAGGAAGAAACACATGGACATGACTTAATGAACATGTTTACCCTGCAGCGTGGCTGAGTGCTGCTCTATGTGACATATCAGCTCTCTGCACAGCTTTTAGGAGTTCAGTGACTAACATTTGTTCTACTTTTACACTGTGCTGTTCTCACTACTGGTATTAATCACCCACTGTGAAATTTTCCCTGGTTTCTGTCAACATGTCTATTTTCACACTGCATAGCTAAACCACGGTATCAAACAAACAAGCTTGATGTTCCGTCTCTCCTTCCCTGAGACAAACATCAAGGGATCCACACACAGAGCTGGGCTGCGTGACCTTTTCTGCAGCTCTCGTTTTTTAATGTTAGTCATGCTGCCTTTGAGGGGACAGCTAGCATCAGGAGAAAACAGCAGATAACTACCACGTGTCTCTGATATGTCCCTCACTCTCTCTATTTTGTCTCTCTCCCTTTCTCTTAGCAGCCAAAAGCCATCCCGTACATACAGTTTGAAGTGCACACAGGTGAGAATTTTACCTTAATTCTCAATATTTCCCCCCTCCAAAAATTGGGGACTCAAAAACTCAAACATTGCGGGGGGGACCCCATATGTTCTAACCTTTTTTTTTCTCAGCTTTAACATTTTTTTTTTTTTTTAATCTTCCAGAGTTCAGAGCAGACACACTTCTGGAGTTGAATAAGTCTAGCGAAAGCAGCTTGCAGAACAACAATGGCAACATCACCATCGGCTGCACGGGGCCCTACGTTTGGTACATGCAGGGCTGCTACGACAACATGGACGACAAGAAGAACACGACCGTCAGGGGGAATCTGACGCTGCTGGCGAAACACAATCTTCCAGTTGGCTCCATCTCCATGAACGCAACACAAGATGTGGTCTGCAGGGGGCTCCACAGTATCGTCTACCTGGTGGCAGAAGATGTAGCCAGGTTCCGCTTTTCCTCACAAGAGGGATTTCGGTTGTTGAACGCGAGTATGGGCCTGAGCTACCTGCTTGGAAATAGATGTGAGTATTGACTCAATCCAAAGAATAAATAAATACATAAAAATGCTGATGAGATGAAGACCGGATCTGGGTGGATTAAGAGAAGCGGACCCACCTCACACACAGAGCCAGTGAGGTTGGGGGGGGGGGGGATCGATTCCTGCTAGGAGACTGTCTGGTTTTATTTCCTCTGCCGGAGATGCGGAGCCTCATGGTTTGACTGTCAGCAGGAAATCTCCGTGTCCAAACAAGAACAAATCAATGCATCTCAGCTGAAGAGATTTAGTCTTAATTTGTAATTTAAAAAAAACATAAAACAAAACAAAAACCAAAGCTATTTTACCTCCTTAACAAGTGCCTTGTTCTGTATTTTTAATGTTTTTTTCTTCTTTGTTCATTTATATTTAAGGCTGGGAAAACAAGTTATGAAGCTAATTCTTAATTTATCAGCCATTTGTTTATTATTTTTTCTTATTATTATTCCTATCATAATAATAATTATTATTTAATATTCAAACAAAGCAATGAATGTCACAGTTTCTTGGTGCTGCGGTGACAGTTTCATGTCACATAGCTTTCGTGACCAACACATCGCTCTGCTGGTTCTTCTGTAAGCTAAGAGAAAACATTTCCAAAAGCTAGAACCGGATTGTGTGTTTTGGTGTTATTTCTTCAGGGTGACTTGAATGCCAAATGCTAACTGACTCACTCTACTTTTGCATAACATGAAACAGCAGAGCTATCTGACTGTGCAGCTGGGAAGCCACACGGACGCTCATCAGCTCTGCACTGCTGAGGCGCTCCCCTGGTTGTACTTGATCTTGACTGCTGGATTGTACCAAATGAATGTATTTTTGCTGTCGGTGCATTGAAGCTCCGCTCTGACTCTGTAAACTTGGCGTGTGCGCCGGTCCGACTCAGCAGTTTTACCTCCAGTAAAGTCGCCAAAACGTCAAACGCCCGCGACGTCGACGTCGTGCGGCGCCGGTCTGCCGCCTGCAGGTGGCCCACGCCGAGGGTTGCCACCTTTCAGAAATCAAAATAAGGGACGCCCACTAATGCGCGTCGTCCTAGTTTCATAAGCGGGTGGGGGGGTGCTTCGACTAGGTTTACCAAGGGACCAGCCCCTATATTTAAAGCCGGGGGGAGTTGGTCTGTGTTACCCAGAAAGCAGTTGGGCACAATATCGCAACACCACCACCATGAGTGACACAATGACTGGGGGCAGCCTACTATATAAAGTACTCGCGGACCACTTCTGTATTGTTACACATTCACTTTTAGAGAATACGGAACAAATCGCTACATTTAACAACCAAATACGGGACGCTTCCGTATTTTAAGGGACGGGTGGCAACCCTACCCACGCCTCACCCGGCTCATCTGGCGCCGGTGTCTGTGGAGTGAAAACTAACCTCAGACTCGTTTGATGTTGCAACCGGACTGACTCACACAAGCCAACAAAGAGAAAAGGCCAGATAGGAGATGAATGAATCTTTTTTTATTATTATTATTGTTGTTATTATTGGTTCTTCACTCATGGTGCACACGTTTGTTTCTTAAGTGCTGGATTATGGTGTATGTTTGTATGTTTTCTTTATTATTATTTTTATTATTATTATTATTATTATTATTATTATTATGAATGAGGTTGCAGCTCATCAATTGATTGTATCTTTATTGTAAAATGTGAAGCACATAAAGAGGTTTACTGTTGTATCCACTTGTGGTTGTGCAAAAAAAGGGGGTTAATAAAGCAGACCTTTTGTTTTTATTGAAACTACTACTGTGTGACGTGACACGATCTGTGTACTTTACCCAGGGAATGCAGCGCTGATACCTCTTCTGACCTCTGGCACAGCTTGTCTGTGTGTTGAAACGTTAATAAAAACGAGTTTCCCTCTTGCTATCTTTGCCTGCTCCTTGTTTTTGTTGTAACGCCTCCTCGAGCAGCATGTGAGTGTGGGTGGGTCTGCCGTGAGACCAGAGAGTTTCGTCATCACTGCCTGCTACATCAAACGCTCTTCAACCAAAAGTGAAAGTGAGCTGAGGAAAAAGCCCAGAAATCACGTCACTCAGTGACCCGGTGTTGCAACACCGTCTGTTTTGCTTCAGGCTGCCGTCTGTGATCTTTCCTGAGCCCTGAAATTAAATCTGAAATACGAGACAAGCCTCTGTAAATACGTGCAAAAGTGCAGTTGATCCCCTTACAAATGTTTTCACTATTGTTGTGGTATAATGTTTCAGATGTGATTTTATGTAAAATTAGGAGGTCGGTTTGTACAAGAATAATGTTAAATGATTTATTTTGTGCACATGTGCAATACGTCCTATAAAACTAATTACGGGTTTTGCCACAAAGGCCGAAAAAATCTGTGGGAAATTTGTTAAAAATTTTTCATAAGTTCCACCTGTTTGAGGTCATGCCTCAGCATTTTATTCAGGGCCTTATGTTATATTTCACTGCAAAAACAGAAAGTATTACTAGGAATTGTCTGTCTGGTTTCTAGTGCAAATATCTCAGTGCACTTGAAGGAAAACTAAACTAACCTAAAAGTAGCTTTTCAGCAAGATATAGGAGCTTGTTTTAAGTCAGTACTTCTACTTAGACTACCATGTTTATTGGCAGATTTGTTCACAATTGAGAAAAGTGTTTTGCTATAAGTCAAAAGATCTGCCAGAGAAACTGCTAGTGCTACTTTTAATGAATATTCAAGAATCACTGACTTAACACAAGCTCATCTCTTTCTGAAAACTTGCTTGTAAATTTGTTTTGTCTTATTTGAAGTGTCCCAATACACTGAGATATTTGCAGTAGAAACTTGACGGAAAAAAAAAAAAAACTTGATAAGACGTTTTGTTTATACAGTGTAATTCATTTATTTATTTTTCATGCAGAGGTGGGTATACTGGTGTGTTTTCAACATGCCAGCTGGTCCTGAGCTTCAGGTCACCAACAAACGGCCTCACATTCTCCTACAGGATTTTTTTGTTGTTGTTTTTTTGGACCTTTTTTGTTTCTTTTTTCTTTTTTGGTTTTACAAATCATGATCAACAAAAAAAAAAAAAAAAGTCAAACTGAAAACTCATTTTTCCAAGATAATGACAAGTAAATGAAAACATATGTTCGCTTCTTAATGTTAATTTATATCAGCATTGATTACAATTTTGCTCCAGAGTTTAAGTAGGAGTAGCAAAAAATAGTTCATTGTCTAAACATGCCGTCTGCAAAAAATAGAAACCAGTAAGGATCAGAAACCCTGAGGTTGTTTTTCACTTCGCAGCAGCAGTTAGTTTCTTGTTTGAACAAGACAATCTGTCTGGCTTTTTTATAAATATAACTTCTGCGTTCTATAAATAGATCAAGAGGTTTTCTGGTTTGTTTTCTCTGATGGGCGCATCCAACGAAAGCAGCAAACGTTGCAAAATCTTTCCTACGTATACGTAGGTGAAAGCAGCAAGTTTGAACCTGACTTACACTCCTGCTTTGCTTCAAGGCAAGTTCACTTGTGTAGCACCGGGCACTGCAAAGGAGCAGAGATGAATCAAAGTGAGCCAAATTAAGTGTCATGCATAAAACGCAACTCTTAATTACAAAAAATACAATGAAACATTTAGGCAAGCGAAATGACATGATGGTAAAGCAACTTTGGCCTTTTAGAGTAAGCTGCAGTAAACAGAAATGTTTTCGGGGCTGATTTTAAAAGACCCAAATGTTTCTGTACATCTCAGGTTTCCAGGGATTTTGTTCCAGCTCTTCATGGTTCAGACTTGACTAGTAATTCTAAAAACTATTTTTGTCTCAGTTTACCCTTGAGGCCCGTGGCGACTCCCACAGGATCAAAATTAAAGCAATAAAAATTTAAAATAGAAAACAAACCAACAATAGTCAAAGTTTCAGTCACTAAACGTCCAAAGCTGGTATTTCTGGTGCATATATCTGCAGTCTGTCTGTGGAGAGAAACCTGTACATTGTTTATGCAAACAAAAAGAACAAATGTCGACATTGACCTGACGTTGGCTGCTGCCCTCGGAAAGCGCATCCAATCGTCCACACTTGTGGGATCTGTAAACCGCTGCGCTTCTAATTAAATGTCTGGCATTTCGCATTGCTGTTCTGCAGAACTACTGAACTATGGATATGAAACCAAGACTGTTGTTGTAAAAATCCCTGTGGTTTCAAATTAATCAAAGCAGGCTATCAGCATTAGTGATCCTATAGTTTTGTCTAATGTCTTAGACTTTGTCTTGGTGTCCAACTGCACAGACTGAAACCCCAAAACCCAGTCATGTGGTGGAGCAGTGAGTTTCAGGTACAGGTCCATCCAACAAAAGGATTGCATTGATTTTAATGTTTTACTCTTAACAGACAAAACGTTGCTTCCTGGAAGCTGTCATGAGTCAGACACCATAAAGTGCAACAATGGTCGACAGAGAGCTCAAAGTACGAGGGGCGATATGCATTGCAGCAGACGTGCAGAAATGTAGCATTACATATGCCCATCAAACAGATAAAATATTACACGACAAATGGTGGAAAGTATGTATTTGTAGTTGCGTCTGAAATTGCAAAATTATGCAATCAATCTTTTAGGAGATATTGGGAAAAATGCAATTAAACTGTAAAATGAAACCAGTGTTGGTTCAATTTCTAAACTGTTGCAAGTAGTTTTGTAGTACTGGAGACCGGTCTTGGTCTCGAGACCACTTTTTGATGGTCTCGGTCTCGGGCGTTGAGGACTTAGGCTTTTATTTCAAGACCGGTGTTCTGACCACAGCTGTGGAAGTGTCACTAAATTGTCACCATACTGTTTGGTTTATTTGTCAACATTCTTGTTTTCACTGGATGCAAAACATACCGATTACAATCCAAGCAGTAAGGTAACTTACCAATTACGTATTTCTGTTGCCGCTGCCTCGCACGCAGCACTCTGAGACATGCGCATAAGTCATAAGATATGACGACGTGTGAATTAAGCAGCGCTTTGCTTTCAGAGACGTTGGGGACTACGTCCAACTTTTGGCGTCACTTTCAGGAAGCTCAAAGAAAGGTAAGCTATGCGGA